AATTTATTGAAAATTGAGATTTTTTTATAAAAATACAATATAAACGAACAAAAGATATAAATATAAATTTAAATAACATAATTAGTTTGTTCACTTAGCGAATTGATTTTTCTGTGTGATATGAAAATAGTTTTGATAATATAAAAAATATAATATTTAGTATTAAATAACTGACTTTTTATGAGTGGACGATATATATTATATTAATATGTGTTTATATTTATAAATTTTTAATATTTACAGTTATTTCAATTCACTATGTAATATTTGCTCCGTCCCTTAATAATTATCTTATTTTTTTATTTTTGTGCGTCTTATAATAAAATATCTAATTTTTTTTAATAACTATATTATATATATAATATTACAAATATTCTTCCAATTTATAATATATTATATAAATGTCATTATCTTTATATCATACAATACTGCTAAGGGTAATTTAGTCTTTTAACATTTATACTTCATTCGTCCAGTTAGAATATATATATTTCTATTTTGTGACGTCCAATTATAAAGTAATAATTTCATTAAATATTCAACTTTTTCCTACAAATACCCTTATTTTACATTATATTATTACTTCTATACCAAAAAGTAAGAATAAAAATATTATGACACTACTTTTACTTACGCACTACAATTAAAATAATATTCTTAAAATTTTGTAAAAAAATATAAATTGATAAATAGATAAGAGACTGAGTATATACAATATATACTAAAAAATAAATAAATAAATAAAGGAGCATATGACAGTGACGTGAAGGTTCAATTCAATGTCTGAACAATAAATAGATGCCGAGACGATATGAGGCGAGACGAGATGTAATTCAAATATTGAGAGGGGAGGGGAGGGGAGGGGACAAAGAAAGTTGTCAGTGTCAGGCTTAGCGCTTAAATAAAAATACAAAATGGAAAATGCGAGTATTTATTTATTATTTCCAATCGGACGAACCGTGTCTGTTATACTGTAAATATGGTATTTTAGAAGTTGTGTAATAGTAGATAACTAAGAATGTATTAATAAAAATAATTATCCTATAATATAAAAAATTATAAATTAAAATTAAAATAACTAATTAGTTTAATTAAAATTTAAAAAAAATAAAATTTAAAAATTTAAAATGAAATTAAAATGTGTATATTTTTCAAAAAAGAAAAATACTATGATATATGAGATGAATAAAAACGACAATATGAATATATTATGTGAGATGGAGGGAGTAACTTATTTTTATAAGAATTAGGGGAAAGTGGAATAACGCCATTAAGTAACTGGTGTTTGTGTTTTTTCCAGCCCCACATACACATAATTACAATACAATACATGTGGGCTCCCATGAGCTCATCCCCACGCGCTATATATCATCATTTCCTCTTTAATAATAGTATTATTATTATTATTTAAAATTATATGTATTTTATTAGACATAAATTTTTAAAAAATGGATAAAAATATTATTTTATAATAAAAAGTGTAAATAATAATCTATTTTCTATCCGTCCCAAAATAATAAAGATATTTGAGATTGACATGTGAATTAAGAAATATTATTATTATATTAACAGTGGATGTAAACGTATTTTCAAAAACTAAAATATTTTTACTTTATGTAATTATTATAAAAAAGTAAAAAAGTAAGAATAATTTTATAAAAAATGATAAGCTTATTATCAAAAATAAAAATGAAACTATTATTCAGAGACGGATAAAAATGACAAAATAAAACTATTATTTTAAAACAGAAGTAATAATTTTTTTATTAAACATTAATAAATAACAATGGAAAAGAAAAATATGCATAAATTTAAATGACCAATAAAGTATTAAAGTACTTTGTAGTACTCCTTCCGTCCGACTCTAAGGTCTCATCTATTTTTTTCGTCATTGTAATTAATATTAAAAATATTTTTATATTTATATAATATTTTGGACAAATGTGATTCTATTAGTATTATAAGACACTAATGAAAATATTTTATATTTTTTAAAAAATTTATATTATATTTTTATATATTAATTAATATTAAAAAATTAACACGTCAAAAATAAATAGAACTCTAGGAGTCAGATAAAATAATATTTATTTTCGATCTTACCAAAAATGTCCAAAAATGGATTGAATGCATATTCCTCTAATAATGATTAATATTAAGAATTGTTATTATTATTATTATCTAAGAATGTCAATTTCAACCCGGTCCCACCTCATTAACATCTAGGGTGTGTTTGGACGTGGGTGGGTTTGGAACACTATTATTATTATTATTATTATTATTATTATTATTATTATCATATTAAATTATTAAATCAGACATTTGTGATGTATTTATTGTGAGATTTTGATATTGGCTTCATTGTTTAAAAAAATTAAATTAAATATATATTTTTTATTTAATATATTATATTATATTAAATTTTAATTTTATATTAAAAATATAATATCAAAATATATTTATATCACATTAAATAATTATTTTTATTTAAAATTTTACTATTCGAATTAAAATCTTACAACTAAATACACTTATATTTTTTTGTTTGGAAATATAGTTTTTAATTAATATATATTATATTTTTATGAGAAAAAGATATATATATATTTAAATTAATATAAATAACAAACAATAAAAGCAGTGTACAATTGAAAAGGAAAGAACCCTTACTTTTTACTTACTTTTTACATTATACTCTCTACGTACCATTCTTCATGTTCATATTTTTATTTTTGTTTGTCTCACTTATTTTGTCACTTTTATTTTTTTAAAAGAATTATACATTTTAATCTTATTTTAAAAATTTTAATTTACATATTTTTTAATTTTAATTATACTAATCAGTTATCTTAATTTTAATCTACAATTATTTTTATTATTCGATAATTATTTTCAATAATATATTTTTAATTATTTATTAATTATACCACTCATAAATTTTTGTGTCTACAGTAAACCGAATAAAATATCCGGGATGGAGGGAGTATTAAGAAATATTTTTTAATTTAAAAAATTTTATTCTTTCTGGAAAAATTATATTAAGTAATATTATCTGAGAACAAAAATTCAAAAAATAATAATATTTTAGTAAAAATGGGATAGATATAAAATAAAATAAGTGTTATAAAAATTTTATTAAGAAAAAAAGATCAGATTACGATATTAAAAAATAGTTTATTTTAACATTATTTGAATAATAATTAAATTCAAATCTTATGTTTCTTTAGTCTTTTCTCAATTTTTTTCTACTTGGATTATAATTTTTCTAATAAAAAACACATATTTCTTTTTTATAAAATATCAAATTAAATATAAAAAATAAACAAAATCTTATTAATTCAAATAGGGTATATTTCTTTAGATGAATTTTAAAAAAATTTGATTTAAATTTGATATTAAAATAATATATAATAAAATATTTTGTGAGAGAAAAAAAATACTATTATATTTGACTGCCAAAAAAATAAATAAATAATAAAATACCCAACGATACCAACCAAACCAACCTGTGAGTTTTAATATTTGACTGAGACGTGTGCGTCTGTATATTATATACAGGCACATCAGCACATGCAGTAATGTATGCTTCATCAAACGCCCGTCCCCTATTAATATTATTAATTAATATATATATATTTATTTATATTTATATATGTATTTGTATGTGGTCAATTCAAACGATGCAATATTCGGATTTTTAAATTAGATATACCGTAAATGGAGCACATCGGAGATTGAAAATATTACTTCCTCGTACCAGGAAATCTGAGACTATTATTATAAATACGGAAATTTAGATAAAATATAATCGATAAATAATTTAAAAGTGTATTAATAAAAATAATTATTATTTAATAAAAATAATTATAAATTAAGATTAAAATAAATAAATAGTTTAATTAAAATTAAAAAAATTATAAAATTTAAAATTTAAAATGATTATATTTTCAAAAATAGAAAAGATAAGTTATGTGAAACGGATAAAAATAGAAAATAGGAACAAATCATGGGACGGATGGAATACCAAGTCAAATTTTAGACATAAGTAAGACCCGTGATTATTTTAACCAACTCAAATGGTTATAAATCAACTGTTGATCTGATAAGTCAGCATGCGGATCAGCATATGTTATCTTATAACATAACATATGTTTATGTATAAATATATGTTAGTTACTTATATGACATATATTAATTCGATTAAATCAGTACTATGTTGACTTGGTCTGATCACCACAGGATCTGCAGAGAATTTAAAATTTAGCATTGTGCTGAACAAAACATCTTGTCTGAACTGTAGTAAATATAAGGATTTAGGTAAAATATAATTAGTAAGTAATAAAAAAATATATATTTGTTAAAATAATTAATGTATAATAAAAATAATTATAAATTAAATTAAAATAACTAAATAATTTAATGAAATTAAAAAATTATAAATTATAAAATTTATAATGTGATTAAAATGTATTTTTTTAAAATAAAAAAATTATGTAGGATGAACCAAAAAAAAATTATTATATATAATATTTATATAATATAAATACAACACATAAATTAATATTCCATGATATAGGAATGAAAAACATATGATATAAAAACAAACACTTAATGCATTATATTTATAACAAACTATATTTCATATTCCATATTCTTTTATATATATACATATGTAATATTTGAACTGTGCTTACACACAACACATATTTTGTTATTTTTACTGTGCTTTCATATACTGTAATTTTTTCATAACTAATTTGATTTACGATATAAATAACAAAAATATTCGCGGAATATTTTAAATTATTACAAATATTGTATAGTATAGTTTCCGAGACTTTTTAAAATCAAAGCATAAATAATAAAAAATATCCATGATTTTTTTTATTATCATTCATAACTATTTAAAATAATAACAACATTATCTTCAATATTTTTATTTTTTATTTGTACAGTAGTGGAATAATTTTGTAATTATTCATTATTGTTTAGAGCACAGACAGTGTGAGGCCTTCCCAACCTCTTTCGAGGGCGTCGTGTCAAACGGTCGGAAAATTGTATTCGCAACGGCCATTTTGTCGACTAAAAAAACTAGATCTACAATGACGGTCGCCTGGTGTAGGTGAGGCGACGTCGACGTTGAGGTATTCTCTCTTATCAATTTTACTCATTTCTCTTCCCATCTTGGATGTATTCGGTCTTCTCTTTCTTCCATCGCCCTATTCTTCTTTCTCTTCCTCTCCCTCTTCTCCAACGTTGTATTTTATCTTCTAGGAACCAATCATTGTTAACAAGTGTGAACACCGATGTGAGCGGGTCTCCGGTAGCTTCCCTAGTTACGAAGAAGGGGTTCCAATGAAGGGTCTGGGGTAAGAATTTGTGGCAACATTGCAATTATATAATGTACAAACTATAATTTTTTAGTGGTAGAGAGGAATTCTTGTATGGGCTTCGCTGTTAGGGTTCTTCAATTATGACTGCAAGGAGAAGCGAAATAGCTTTCTTGAATTTGTGTGTAAAACCCATAAGACATTCAAAACAATACTGGGTCATTGTGTAAAATCGATTTTTTTCCCTGCGTCTTCTATGTGATAAATTGAGATGTTCGACTAGCTAGCACTGTAGTTGGGGAAACGGATCTGAATTGATAAACAAGCAACAATGAAAATATTTCTATTGAATAATTGTTTGGGCATAGAATTGAAAATTCAATTCAATAGGAATTTGGTTTGGCACGCCAATAGATAACTGTAACCAAGAACTGCATTACTGCTTTCCTTCACTTAATGGAAAATACTTAGAAATTCAAAGAATAGCAATGGGAGCTTTCTAATCTATTGCAATATTATCTGCACAAGATGAAATGGGTGAGGAATTTCCAAATTATACATTCCTGTCGAACTTTGAACCTAAGAACACTTCTCATGTTGATCATAAATGAGTGAAAAGTAGTAGGAGCTTATAGATTTGGAGTATTCCCCGGCATAACTGCTTTTCTTCGCATAGATACATCTATATCTACCTACAGTTTCGGCAAGTGATGAATGTGAAAGAATTTGTGCATCTGTGAGGTACAATTGCACTCGACATTATGCATGATGCTCAAATTGATTGACAAAGGGACAAATTTTATTATAAGGTTGTTTTAGGTTCATTGGATTTCCTTTGTTTGAAAACGATTTGTGGCCAAAATCGAAATATAGTATTACTTTACTAAATTAATTTGTGTTGATCCTAAATTATTAATCTATCTTTTGTTGTATGTTGATGATATGCTTATTGTTGCCAAGAATATGTCCAAAATTCACTTCATAAAAGTAAATTTGAAATGAAGGATTTGGGAGCAGCGAAGAAAATTCTTGGCATGGATATCCAACGTGATCGTGGACAGAGAAGACTGGTCTTAACTCAAGAAAGCTACATTAAGAAGGTCTTGGAGTATTTTGACATGAATAATGCCAAATTAGTAAGTGTCCCTTTTGCTAGTCACTTTCGATTATCAGCTGGTCAGTCACCACAATCAGTTGAAGAGGAAGAAGAAATAGTGCGAGTTCCTTATTCAAATGCAGTCGGAAGTCTAATGTACGCAATGGTATGCACCCGTCCAAATATTTCGCAGGCAGTCAGTGTTGTTAGCATAATTGTCTTGGAAAAGCACATTGGCAGACTGTGAAGTGGATTATGAAATACTTACAATGTACTTCGAATGCATGTTTGGAGTTTGGAAGAAATAGTAGCTCTCTGGTTGGATATGTAGATTATGATTATGTTGGCGATCTCAATAGAAGATCTCTCTTAGGCTATGTATTTTGCATTGGCGGTTGTGCAGTTAGCTGGAAAGCATCTTTACAACCAGTTGTGGCATTGTCTACTACAGAGGCAGAATATATGGCAGTAACAGAGACAATTAAAGAAGCTTTGTAGTTGAAAGGTCTTTTGGGCGAGCTCAATCTACGTCAGTACTACTGTTATTTATTGTGACAGTTAAAGTGTGATACACTTGACTAAAGACCAAATACATCATGACAGAACGAAGCATATCAATGTGAAGTATCATTTCATCCGACATATCATTGCTGAAAAGAAGGTCTGCGTTCAAAAAATTGATACAAAGGAGAACCCGCTGATATATTTACAAAATTTCTTCCAGTCCTTAAGTTCAAACAGTGCTTGAGTTGGATTGAAGTTCAATGTCGGTGATTTAACCCGACGGGGCTTTTGTGAAGAAGGTGGAGCGGAGCAGGAGCATACTCACTATTTTGTCAATGTTGGACACGCCAAGGTGGAGATTTGTTATGTGGCTTTGTCCCACGTTGGAATATTTTAAAAATTGAAGAAAAATATTGTCCCACATTGCTTGTGGTGACAAAGTTGTCATAAGTCTTCTCCTATAAATTTGTAGCCGTGGGTTGAGCTTTAAGACACACCAAAATTAGACAAGTAGTCTTTCCATATATATTCGTGGGTTACTTGTTTTGCGTTGAGGGTGTTTTGGGAGATAGAGAGTTGTGGGCTTCAGAATTGTTATTCGAGCCTATTTTGTATTCCTCGTTTGATAGTGAAAAGTTTGCTCCGTCTTTGCCCGTGGATGTAGGTCATCTTGACCGAACCATATATATTCTTGTGTCGTTTAAATTTCTCGTTTTTATTTTTGTCATCGTTAAGGTTCTGCAAATATTTGTTTGGGGCCATAATCCTAACAAAAAATATTTTTTTAAAAAAACATTAAATTAATTATATGACTCCTTCTGTTTCCGCGACAAATGACTCATTTTTTCTTTTTTTTTTTGTCTGTCCATAAAAGATGACAATTTTTTATTTTTTTAGTAAACTTATTCATCTTAAACATATTTAACAAATATAAATTAATTTAATTGAATTTTTAACTTCTTATACGTATGAGCCACTCAAAACTCCTTTATTTTTATATCTCTTCTCAATAAACAAATATGTTTATCTAAATTTAAAACTATTAGTTTTTATAAAATTAATTTAAGTTAATATAAATAAGAAATAAATTCTTTTATTAATTTGTATTATATAAAATTTTATTACATACAAAATTATATCTATATTATATATATTTTATTGAAATATAATCCTAAAAATATTTAAAATACCAATAACACTACTCATATAAAAAATAATAAATTAATATCATAATTTATTATTAATAACTTATTAATATACACTATCTAAAATACTGTGTTCCTAAGAAAAGGGTTCATCTCTCGCGGGATGAAGGAGTATTGATTTGGTATTTCTATATATTTTTTTATTCCAAAACTCTTTATATAAGGTTGTTCATTTGATAATTTTTAATGGAACGATTACTCATAAATATTATTAAAATACATAATATATGCACATTAACACAATATATATAATATATATTATCTGCTTGCAAAAAATTGATAATAAAATATAAAATACTATTATTTTTTATATTATCAGAGCAATTTATATGTATCATAAAAAATACATAAAGGTAACAAACTATATTTCTTTGTCACACCAATATTATTGGATGGAGCACATATAGTAATATTATTGGATGGCACATTTGTTTATGTCACTCAATACATCCAATTATTTGTATTCATTGTGGTTGAACTTTATTTAGACACCACTTTTGGGTGTGGCACATTATTTCAATATTTAAAAAAATTATTATATTAAATATAATTTAAAAGAAATTACATTAAATATAACTTTTAATTATTTTCAAAAATTTCAAAATTTCATAGCCCCAAAAAATCTCTTTATCTAAACTGTTAGATGAAAGGTTTGAAATTTTATTTTATGTTTTAAAATAATAAATATATATATTTTTAGTTTAATACTCTTTTCGTTACGACTATGGTGTATTTTTTTACGGTAAATACGAGAATTTAGGAGATGTATAATTACAAATTAATTAAGAATGTATTTTAGATTAAAATTAACATAACTAATTAGTTTAATTAAAATTAAAAATTTTAAAAATTTAAAATAAAATTAAAATATATAATTCTTTCCAGAAAAAAAAAATAACAAAATAAATAAAAAAAGATGAAAATGGAAAAATAGACAAGATAAGTAGAACGAATTGAGTAATTTTTAAAATTGATTATAGTGCTAACTAAAATTAACTAGCGTAACAATTTACCTAAAATATAATTGTTGTTGAAAAAGAACATATGCTATATATCATTAGCATGTATTGTTATTATATTCCCATAAAAATATACTATTTTTTATATTTGTCTGTTCAAAAAACAAGGATATAATTTTCTAATTTAGTAATAGTAGCATCTACCCAATTAATAAATACCCTTATAACTTATAATATATATTACACAAAGTTCGTTATTTTTATATTTTGCACCATAAATATTTTTGTTTTTTTTACTAAAAATCAATATAATATTAATATTAAAAAATCTATATAAAAAAAATAAATAATACTCTTGTTACGTAACGGAATTCATTCTGAACAATTGCCTTTGATATTTTTTTTATCATATTTTGTATTTTATATATATAAAAAATGGAATTTATATTGAACAATTATTTTTTATAGTTTTGCCATTTTTTTACCTAAAAAAACTGTTGTTATCTTGAATAATATTATTGATTTTGTAAGATAAGTATTTCATTAAAATTACTATTTAATGAAAATTTAAAACTAAAATATAACATTAAATACAAATATACTTATAACATTTATAGTGTGGCCATTGAATTATGTTTTATCTATAAAAAATTTATAATTTAATACTAATGTTCTAAATAAGAATTATTTAATATTTCTAGAGTTTAAATTACTATTTAATGAAAATTTAAAACTAAAATATAACGTTAAAATTAAATGTAAATATGAAAATAGATATTTTATTTTATATTTTAATATCATATAATAAAAAGTAATTATTCCTTCCACTTGGGGTGTGTTTGTTTGGGGGATTGAATTTTAAATTCACTATTCATCCAATTTTTTTAAAAAAAATATCAAAATAAATACCTATTTTTTATTTTTTATATTATACTAAAATTAATTTTATATTCATTAACACCTATTTATATCACATCATATAATTATTCAAATTCAAAATTTTTACTATTAAAAAATAATAATAACTTTTATTAAAAAAGGTATATTGTATTAATATTTAATTATTTTTATTAAAAAATAATAATAATACTTTTGAGTGAAACAGATAAAAATATATTGAATTAGGACAAAAAAAAAATATTATTATTACTAAAAATCATTCAACATAAATAATACTCCCTGACCCACATATCTATAAACATGAGAATTCAATATGAATATAATTAGTAAATAATTAAAAATATATTAATAAAAATAATTATAATATAATACAAATAATTATAAATTAAAAATTAAATTAATTATATAAAACCGAATAAATAATTTTTTTTATTTAAAATAACAAAACAAACACACCCCAAATAAAATAAACAGCATCCCCACCCCATGTCTTTCTTGTCGTAGACTCAAGAAGACATATTTGCGGTCCAGGAGTCGAAGACCTGAAATGCATATGTGATCATACCATCTGTAACGTGAATCTTCTCCGGGAGCTCCAGTCCTGGACCTGACAAAAATATACCAACTAAAAAAAGATGTCGCCATGCACATCAATTATTTATTATATATTCCCATCTATTTTTATATCGATTAGAAAAAAGAAATATTTAAATAAAGTAAAATAAAAGTATTCTTTATTATCTCGTGACATCAGAGATATACACACAGAAATTCATATGTATATGTATGTATAGATATTCTCATGGTATGTTATGTAATGTACGATATGAGTCACGAGATCTTATCAATCCAATCCAATCAAATCAATCAACAAGAAAAGTTAAGACACTATTTATTTTATTTTACATTTATTAATAAGTATTATTATTATTGGATTGATGAATTAATTAATGCGTAAGATGAGCAGAAAAAAAAAAGTAGACATTATTTGGATCGCTGAATGTGACTGGTGGGCCCCGCCCTCTGCCGACTCAGCCACATCCTATCGAGCTCGGCTCGGCTCGGCTGGCTGGCTGGCTGGCTGGCTTGGCGTTTCGTGCCGTCCATGTTGCCTTGCTGCGACATTTTCGTACTCATCTCTTCTAAATAATTATGGACTATCATATGCATGTAGTAGGTATATTATAGTATCTCTTTCGTTCATTCGGTGTGAGTATATATTTTATTACTTTTTTATAGCTTAGGGTGTTTTTTTTTTTTTAGTTTTGGATTTTGAGTTGGGATTTGAATAGTAAAAATTTTGAATTTGAATAGTTGTATGATGTGATATGAATAGATATGATGTGATGTTTTGAATGTATTAGTATAATATAAAAAATAAAAAATAGGTGTTTGATTTAATATTTTTGGGGAGAAAAAATAGGATGAATAGTGTATTTAAAATCAAATCCTCCAAACAAACATACCCTAAATATACAATATTAGTTAAGATAATAAAATTTAGGGTAAGTTTATTTAGCCGAGTTTTTTCAGATTTTACTATTTGGACTATACGTATGTTTTTTTTTAAAAAAAATATATATTTTTTCATCTCATAAAATATTTCATCAAATATTATTTTTATACCAAATTTCAAATTAATTTTTTTCCAAACTCATCAAAAGAAACACACCCTAAAGTAAAATGACATTTAAAATAATAAATTTTAGTATGTTAATGATAGTAAATTATGATAGTCCATCCATTATAATTTAATAAATAATATTTTTTTCCTCCAACTTAATTTATCTACTATTTCTATTTATGTCCGTCCCATATAATGTCTTTTTTTTTTTAAAAAAAAATAATATATATATAATTATATACTTTAATCACATTTTAAAATGGGTAAACTGTTTTTTTAGTCCCGTAACTGGACCTCCTTATCATTTTAGTCCCATAAGTGAAGTCTATCGCAAATTAGTCCCATAAGTGAAAATTTTTTATTGTTTTAGTCCTCCGGCGCCGGAGATGTCCGCCAGGCTCGCCGGAGGTGACATGTCCGCCAGGTGTCCCGCCAGGTCAACGACACCTGGTGGACACGTGGATTTATTTATTTATTTTTAATTTTTTTAAAAATAAGACTAAATAAAAAATACAAATAAAATTAAAAATAAATTAAAAATAAGTTTTTAAAAAAATTTAAAAAATGAAAAAATAAAAAATAAAAAAAATCCACGTGTCCGCCAGGTGTCGCTGACCTGGCGGATACGTCACCTCCGGCGAGCCGCGCTGATGTCTCCGGCGTCAGAGGACTAAAACAGCGAAAAGTTTTCACTTATGGGATTAGTTTGCGACATGCTCCACTTACGGGACTAAAATGATAAAGGGGTCCAGTTACGGCACTAAAAAATCAATTTACCCTTTTATAATTTATAATTTGTTTTTATTTTAATTAAACTATTTACTCATTGTAATCTTAATCTATAATTATTTTCACTATTACACTTCTTAATTACTTACTAATTATACAATACATAAAACTTCGTGCCTACGCTAAAGAGGAAAAATTATCCGAGACGGATGGAATAATATTTTATTAGTTAGTAAAAATACGTAAGATATTTTTGACATTTTTTCTTTTTAACTTTACGTATAATTAATTGTATGTA